CTTCTTGTTGTTGTAGATGTCCTTCGCGTAGTGCCAGTGGTAGGCGTCGAGGGAGTAGGAGAGCTCGAAGGACGTCACCCACTCCTCGTCGTCAGCCTTGCCCTGCGTCAGGAGGCCCGTCACCTGCGGGATGCGTGGAGTGGAGGAGGGTGGGGGGGGAAGGGGGGGGAGGGGGGGTTGGGAAAGGGGAGGGGAGAGAGGAAGGAGGGGGAGGGGGGAGAGGGGGAGGGGATAAGGAGGGGGAAGGGGAGGGGGGGAGGGGGAGGGTGGGATGGGAAAGGGGGAGGGTTGAAGGGGGGGGGGTGGTGGAGGGGAGGTGAGGTAAAGAGGGAAGAGGGAGGGTGGAGGATGAGGTGGGGGGAGGGAGGAAGGGAGACGGGGTAAGAGAGATAAGAGACGGTATTAGAAGCGTTATATATTTTTTTCAATTTCATTATTAGTATTATCATTATTACTATTTTTTTTGTTCGGTGGAATGGAAGGGGGGCGGGGTGTTCGTGAGGTCTGTTATGATGTCTGTGTCTCTGTCTGTACCTCTGTCTCTGTCTGTGAATGTGTCTGTGGCTGTATCTTTGACTGTGTCTGTCTGTGTCTTTGCCTGTGACTGTATCTGCCTGTGTCTTTGGCTTTATTTTGTCTTCGTCTTTTTTGTGTCTTTCCATGTCTTTGTGTCTGTCTTCGTTTTTGCCTATGTCTATGTCTGTGTGTCTCTTTTTGTCCGTCTTTGCATATGTTTTTGTGCACATGCATACTCATGGGCGTATTCTTGAGCATCTCCATGTGTACATGTATGCGTATGAATGTGTGTGTAGGGTAATTATACGAATATTTCTGCCTGTGTTTGTTTTCTTAGACTCATAAAACAATTTAACAATAATATGCTTTTATCAGTAAAATCAGGTTATTAAGATACAGAAAACGACAGAAAGAGACATTCATCATACACAAGCTGACATGAGCAGATTTCCTTAATTATTCTCCCTCCCTCCTTCCCTCCCTCATTCTCTCCCTCCTCTTCTCATTCCCTTCTTCTCCTTTCATCCCTCATTCCCTCTATCTCCCTCCCTTTATCTCCCTTTCTCTCTCTTTGAATCTCCCTCTCTTTCTCTTGCCTCTTTCTCTTGCCTCTCTCTTCTTCTCTCCTCCTCATCCTTCCTTATCTACTCTCCATTCTCCTCCCTGTTCTTTCTCTTCCTATCTCTTCCTCCCTTTATTCTCCGTTCTCACCGTCGCTTCCCTATTTCCTCCTTTCTCCATCCTGCTTCCTCTCCCTCCGTTCTTTCCTCCTTTTTACTCCCTCATCTCTCTTTCTCTCTCCCTTCCTTCCCTTCCTACCCTACCTTTCCCTTTTCCTTCCCAACCCCTTCTTCTCCTCCTCTTCCTTCCCTTTCCTCCTTTTCTTTCCCCTCCCTTTTATCTCCCTTCTTTCGCGGCACACTCACTCGCCGCCTCACCAATTCCTTCACTTCTCTCCTGATCCCCATTTACTTCCTCTTTACCCTCCCTTCTCCCTTCCTCGCAATTCCCTTCCTCATCTTTTTCCCTTCCCCTTCTTTTCCTTTACCTTTCCCTTCCCTTGCCTCCTCATCTCTCCTTCCTTTTCCGTTCCCTTCCCTTCCCTCTTCCTCCCTTCCCTTCCTTCCCCTCCATCTTTTCCCCCCTTCTCTATCCTTACTTCGCCGGCACGCCCAGGTCGACGAGCACCCCCCTTCCTCCCCACTTTTCCTTCATCTCTCCCCTTCCCTTTCCTCACCCATTTCCCTCCCCCTTCTCTACCCCCTTACCTTCGCCGGCACGCCCAGATCGGACGAGGCACCCAACCCTTCCTCCCCTCTCCCCTCCCCACTTTTTACTTCACTCTTCCCTTCCACTTCCCTTCCTCCCTCCCCTTCCCCATCCCATCTTCCCCCCCCTCTCCTCCCCTTACCCTTATCCCTTCCCCTCCCCCTCCTCCTTCCACTCCCCACCCCATCTTCCCTCCCCCCCCTCCCCCTACCCCTCCCCCCTTACCTTCGCCGGCACGCCCAGATCGACGAGCACCCATCGCCGCCGCCTTCTGCCGGCACACCACGCCTCCCGTTGGGCTGGTGGAGGCGCGCGTACTTGATGTGGCAGCCCGGGTCCCACGACGAAGGGTACGACGACGAGGCCGAGATCTGCCAGTCCAGGACCTCGCCCGTCGTCAGGCCCAGCGGCGAGGAGCAGCCTGGAGGAGGGAAGGTGAAGGAGGGGGGAGGGAGGGGGGGAGAGGGAGAGGAGGGTGGATGTGGAAGGTAGGAGAGGTGGGAGAGAGGGATGGGAGGAGGGGGGGGGAGGGAGGAGGAGGGGAGAGGGGGAGGTGGTGGGTGGAGGGGAGGATGAGGAGAGGGGAGAGAGAGGGAGAGGGGAAGAGGGGGGAGGATGGGGGAGGGATGGATGGAGGGGGTGAGGGATGGGGAGGGGAGAGGAGTAAGGGGAGAGAGGAGGGGGGAAGGTGAGGGGGAGGGGAGAGAGAGGAGAG